GATGGTTAAGACCGCGGAATCTAATGAAATTAATGGTATTTACTACCACATCCATAACATTCTTCAATCGAATGGACTTAGAGCACAAATTTTGTTGTTGAATAATGCAATGCAGAATTATTAAATCACATTTTTGCACATTCATAGCGGTTGCTCTTTCCTTCAGAATTCCAATAAAACCTTTTCTAGAATCGACCATTGAAGGCTTACCATCCGTGCAACTCCAACTAATTTACACCACTGTAAACCATATGGCTCAAAATACTTTGCACCTCGGCAAAAATATCTTTTCCAATAGTGGTCCCTTGTAGCGGCCGTAGAGCCAGTAATTCCTCTCGCTGCAACTTCTTCATCAACACCTCGTATAAAAATAGCTAACTGTGCTGTGTCTGATAAATATGTACTCTCATCCAAAGCAATCGAAAATGCTTGAGAACCAGCTAATGTAAAAATGTGTTTTTGATATCACTAGCTATCATATCTATACGTCGAACAACAGTACGTCGCGATAAGTTCACTTTCTCAAACTCTTTCTTTTCTGGGCACAAAAGTTCTTTAACGTCTACTAGGCACCCTTTAACAAACTGTCCCTCAGAAAATGACTTCGATGTTTTGGCTATTTTGGAACTAATTATAAAACTAGCTTTAACAACGCTGTCTAGATTTGATCTTTGTGAATGGAACGTTTGTTGCTGTTTCCATAAATCGGTAATTTTTATACTTTCTAACTGGCCCATGAGTAAATTATATTGAGCAAAATGCTTGCTGGAGTAATGTCACTTCATATTATATTCTTTTTAAAAAGAAATTGTTTCATTGTACAACAAACACAGGTTTACCACTGTGCACAATAAAAACGTATTCATCAGTCCATTTGCCTTGGAATTGACGACATTCTGCGACTACTTTCCTCTTTTTTGGACCAGACATGTTTTTGTTTGAATAAAACCCGCGTCGTACTCTCGATCGTACGTGAATATGCAATGCGAACTTTTTCAGTTGTTGAGAAGTAATGAGGTGACGCGCGCTAAGCGGTTTATATATTATCCCCAATAAGCAACTAGAATACTCTCGATCGTACGCGAGCACTTCAAGCGCATCGTGCGGCTTCCCGAATGTTTATGTGTTTGTTTCTTTTTAACGACTATTTCTGACACGATCTGTGTCGTTCCACTGCATACGCTTAATAATAATATTTATCGATTTTAGTTATTATGAGTTGAAAAATACAGTGGCGTTCCACTGCGTACTCTTAATACAATTACAAATAAACTGTGTTCTACTCTATAATGTTTTTGGGCATTATTTTGATTTTCTAAATCTCTAGATTGAAGCTGGTGGAGGGCCGGGGGTTGCCCACTTATGAGATACACCTATCAGCAAAAAAATTAATTAAATAAACTGCCAGTGTTGTACGGTATGGATAAGTAACACCTTCATCCTCTCTAAATTTTACTCCACTTTATAAAAACGTATTTATACTATAATTTTAATTTTTTTGATATTTTTTAAACAAATATACTCTTTGTTGGGAACTCATAAAGTGATTGGTTTTCGAAATATTCACATTCAAATTTTGTAATTTTGGATTTTTTTATAAATTCCCAACGAGAGTTTATGATTTATTAAAAAAAAAAACATCAAAAAATTCAAAATATAGAAGGGAGGAAAGCGAGGGGCAAATCACTCTTTGTAAAAATGTACATGTATTGCCGAATTCATATGATTTCCGCAATCATATGGCGATTTCTGGATGACTGCGGCGATTTCTAGATGACTGCGGGGATTTCTGGATGACTGCGGTGATTTCCACATGACTTCCGACAGATTTCCCGTGACTGCGGTGATTTATGTATTGACTGCAACGATTTCTCTATTGATTGCGGCAATTTCCCTATTGATTGCGGCGATTTACTCGTACGTATGGATTGTCAGTATTATTGCAAAATTGCACGCATTCCGAAGGATTTCTACGATATTGTATGGCTTACCAGTTGGTTTCCAGTAAAAAAAGCATTAGCTAGGTGTTTCATCAGAAAAACTAAATTTTGTATAGCGCATGTATAGGTGCTGAATACAATGCATTGATTTAAAACTAAGTGTGTACAACAAATTTATCAATAAATCAACTTTTTGTACGTTTTTTATTCATTCAGAAGATCAGTTTTAATTGATGTGATACCCGAAATATAAACTTCTATGTAGGTACCTACATGCCTCCATTATTAGATATCTTTGATATGCCTAAATGAACAAATAGGTACAGGTAAATAAAACAAGTTAAGTAATTAAGTAATTGGAGGTTTTTTATTTAAAAATTTCATAAAAGTGTTTTTTTAGACGTTTACAAATTTTATTGATGTTTGTTTCTAGTTTAAATGGACCAGATCCAATTGAGTTGATGGGTCCGTAAAATATTAATTTATTTTTAACAATAAGAATGTCGTCTTTTTTAGGCCATAAATATTCTTCAAGTTCAGATTTTAAAATTTTTATTTTACTAGTGGTTTCATCAATTATTTGAAAAATCCGACCTATGTACCATGACTCGTAAAGAATTGCGTAATATTGTTCGTTCCTAATTAAAATGCCATTGATATTTTTCTGGAGCAAAGTGTTTTCACTGGTAGTTTTTTCACTTTCTGTTACATCTTTGTCATTGTAGTTATTTGGTATTTTAGCTGTGTTTTTTCTGGACTTGTTTTTTTTTTGTTATTTAGTACTGCTGAGGATGTTCCTTTTACACGAGATAATCTATCAGTTGACAAGCGCCCATCTTCAGTGGAAAATAACCAACAAAGAACTGATTTTTTTACCTTCATTTTTTTGTTGTTCACAATTATGTTTAAAAATGAGGTATCAGAATCACTTTTTGTGTAGTAATTTCGAAAATCCTTTATATTAAGATCTTCCAATCCATAAAAAATGCTCTTTTCATTATCTACATCATATATGGAAACTTAAGTTTAAAATTTAATGTTTTTTACTTTATCCGTTTTTGATTTTTCTTTAAAATTCGAAATTTACACATTTTAAATATCTCGAATACGGTCCATTTTAGAGAAATTATGTATAGGGCAAAAATTATAGAGAATTATATTACAAACAACTTTTATTTGAACAATTTTTATAAAAAAATATTTTTTTTTACATTTTGTCAAATTTCTCGAATACGGACCAAATTTTGTATAGAACAAATTATAGATAATAATATTGTAAGTAACTTTTATTTGAAAAAATTTCTTCTCCAAACGTAAATAACAGATATATTCCATAAAATATAAAAATGATGACTATAAAGTACCCTTCAAATGTTCCGACTCTGCCCAAAATCTAATCAGCTAATTGGACGCCGGAATAAAGCTTAAGTTTAAAATTTGGTGTTTTTCTTTGTATCCGTTCATGAGTTATCGAGGATACAGACACACACAGACATCATCGCGAAAATAGTCAAAACAGATTCAGGATACCCCAAAACATAAAAAACCGTCGAAAATTCGAGGTCGAAAAAAATCATGATTCCTATACTTTCCTTAGTCCCACAATAGATCTGAAAAGGTCGCGGTGGACAAGGACAAATAACGTCCAACTCCTAATCTAATCTAATACTTTCCTTATCTGTAAACAGATAGGAAAGTAAAAATACATTTAAAACCCTAATTAAAACGTGTATCACCCCAACCCCCATAAAATACCAACAATTTTGTTATACATTAAAAAAAAACTAGATGAAAAGGGACAATTTTTGACCACCTTTTAAAATTTTGTAAATTTAACTTAATAGTTCTTGCCTCAAAATGTAAACTGCAATTTCTTTACACAAAATGGTTTAGATGGCTTAATCAAAGCACCCTACATCAACAATGGCTAATTGGTTAATGTCACCTTACTGCGCGCGATTTTTAACGATTGCTAGTGATTGCTAGAGAATTCGGGGGACTGCAAGGGAATTCGGAACGACTGCGAGCGAATTCGGAACGACTGCGGCGATTTCTTAGCGATTGTCACTGATTTTGATGAGACTGCGGCGATTTTCAATGGGGTTGCGGACATTTTGTACACGTATTGCGGGAGTGATTTGCCCCTCGGAGGAAAGTGTTACTTATCCATGCCGTATGCCACTGGGAAAGTGTATTTAACTGATTTTTTTGCTGATAGGTGTATTTTATGACACCAAAAACGTTCGCTCGGTATAATTTTATAAAAAAAATCCAAAATTACAAAATTAAAAAAATAAATTAAAGGAATATCCACCTTTCAGTGTGAAAATCTCAAAAATCAATTACTTACCAAGTTCCCCACAAGGGTACATTATTTATTTAAAAAACATAAAGAGATATCCAAGTACAATATTGTTTAGGAATGGTAACAAAATAGGAATTTATCTTTGGAATATGTTTAATTATATAAAATATGGCAGAGTTATATTTTTTTCAAAACTCTTCTGTAAACACATCAAATTGTCAAATTAAAATTTGTTTTTTCAATGTCCATTTTCACAATAATTCCAATATTTTAGGAAAGAATACACAATATTTTTAAATATTATATTGTACACCATAAAAACGAGATAAAATAGTATTTTTCTCAATTTTTTTTCATGAAATATACACATAACTAACAATAAATTAGGTATACATATAACAGTTATACCATAAGTTCTACTTTCTTATGAAAAGTATAACACTTTTTTAACTGCGCACGTTTAGGCGCCTTTCTATTTGTCGAATACAATATTATTTAATAAGACAATTAATATTTTCAAATTTATGAAGTTTTTTTGAGAGGTCGTTTCAAAGACTATTATTAAAATTATTATTAAAATATTACTCTTCATGAAAAATTCATTCAATAAGACTATTTAACAACATTCAACAGAAGTGCATTTATATCATCAGCGCCATTTTTTTAGGAACTTTGAATTTTAAGTTACAAAAAAATAGTTATTTCGAATCCTATATATTTTAAATGTTTAGGCCTCCAAGCTCTATCAACATTCGGCCTTGCCGTTTGTCTCAGTTCGCTACGCGACATGCCTCAAAGTTTCCGGTTCCAAGAAGCCATCAACAAAGAAGAAAATCTCGTAGACTCGGCCATCGAAATGAACGTATTCACTTTCCTGCACAACATCTTCCTAGACAACAAAACTCTATATAAAGAACCGTTTCTGTATAAAAGGATCCACAACTTGATCACTGACTTCATATTCTCCATGTACCCCAAAGTGAAAGATCTGAGGATGAAGGCTGACGAAATCGGCAGAACGATGCAGGTGTATATCAGAGAGGGGTTGGAGGTGCCCGCAAATTTGCCCAGATACTTCGAGTATTTGCTGTTGAGCGTCGGAAAACTTTACGCCAGTGATGTCTTGAATACGGATTACGTTTCCAATTATTGGAGTCCCATTGAGATTAATCAGAGTCAAATGAATTCTGTAAGGGCTGCACCTAGATCGGTGTCTTTGTTTAAATTTATCAGGTTAGTAATTTTGTTTTATTTTAACATGATAACTGCCGATTCAATTGCTTGTGAATTTAAAACGATCTAAATTCATCGCTTTTTAAGAACTTATACAGTGTGTTTCAGATTTAAACGGATACAGGCTTAATGGGAGGTAGAGGACACTTACTCCTATATTTAGACTTTAATCACACTCGTTTCTGAGATATAGGGTGTTCTATGATTTTTGCCAAAACTAAAGTCGGCCATTTTGTTTGAACGGCTAGAGATATTTTGATAAAATTTTGTACAAAAGTTACAGTCTCTTAGGTTTAGCCATAATTTAATTTTAAAAAATTACAGGACTGGAATCTCTTTTCTATATTAATCTTCTTGGCTAGAATATCATAGTGTATGTCGGATTTTAATAAATGTTGCTGCATATTTAAATAGTACGTGGATCAATAAATAACATAATGTAATAATATTTAATGGCACATCTTGATTTTCTTGCAGTACATTTTCATAATGGCGACTACAATATTATAAATCAGTATTTACAAAATTTAAATCAAATATTTAACTCTGTATTTTTAAAACTCTACACAAATTGGGTACTATCTTCATTTCTTTTTAACTACTGCTTTTTCCAATAAGAAATTGAACATCTACACAGAACCGGGCTCACTTTATTTGATAACAGAAACAAATAATTAAAACTAAAGTAGATTTTCAAAATGAACACCGTGAACGTCAATACACTTCTGCGAACGTTTTAACAGGTTTTTTTACTGATTTGTCAATTATTTCCGGTTTATTTCTAATGTTGTTACTTACATTATTAATTTTTTCCAATAACTGTGCTCGGGTATTAATTTCTTCGTTGTACACCTCTGATTTAAGGTAGTCCCATAATATATAATCCAGAGGTGGAGATGATTTAAATGGTCTCTGGCCAGTATTTGAAAATGAGGTCCAGCACCATCGTGTTGAAACCACATTCCTCTGGTATTAATCCTTTCTAACAAATTTGGCAAGCTATCTCTAAGGAAATTTAAATAAACTTCAGCTGTTAATCTGCCTTCAAAAACATGAGAGCCTATTAAATGATTTTTATAAATACCACACCATACATTTATAGAAAATCTATATTGGGAATGCTTTTGTGATATAGTGTGAGGATTTTCAGTTGCCCAAATATGACCATTCCTAGTGTTATTGATCCCATCACATGTAAATTGGGATTCATCAGTAAATAAAATACTCGATATTTTCCTTCTGTGGGTCAAAGTCCATCTACAAAAAGATAAGCGGGGTACGTCGTCTCCGTGTTCAAGTCGCTGTATTTTTGTACATGAAATGGATGTAAATTTTCCATACTCTTGTTACCGGTACTGCTAATTCATTACTAATTCTTCTTACACTGATAGAAGGATTATTTCGAGCTATCTGTAGTATCTCCTCTTCTTGTCGAAGATTATTTCTAGGAGCATGTTCATGTTAAACTGTAGTTGGAAACTTTCCATGTTGCTTACTGAATTCGAAAACTGTAAAAATGTATTTGGTAAACGGCGATTAGGAGTTACAAAAACCGAACACAAAAATAATGTCTGCATATTCTTCATAAATTGAAAGGGCATCCTGAAATACTTATTTTCATACCATTAGAAACTTACTCTTGTGAACAAAAGTAATTTAGCTCAAAATACTATACATAAAATAAATGATATTATTTGACACAAACCTACTGGTATTATACAATTTTATATTAATTATGTTTAGTACGGAATGAGTGTAATTTGGCGCATATCGGCAGTTGACTAAATTGAGTTTTCAGCTCGTTTATAAAATACCTAGTTTTTTAAATTTGATTTCATCAGAGTTTTAGTTCGTTTAAGTTTTAGTTCACTTTAATTTTTAAATATATTTACGTAAAGATGAACGTGGAAGGAATGAATGAGGTGGTTCGAAATCATATTTCTGTTAGTGTAAGAATTAGTAATGAATAAGCAGTACCTAGGAACCAGAAACAAGTGTATGGAGAACTTAAAAAAAATTAAATTTGTATCTATTTTATGTACAAAAAGTACAGCGACTTGAACACACATAAAATGTTTGGTGTGGAATTTATAAAAAAATCACTCAGCTAAGTGTACTCTACCTCTCATTAAGCTGTGTCCCTTTAAACCTGAAATACCCTGTATGAAATTATTTAACAATTTAGATTAGCTGGTGACGTCCTTCCGTCGACGTTATTCGTTCCTTACATAACTATGCTAAGCGGTCTGTCATCGTCTCAACAAACCGCCAGACATTGTTTCAATATGCTGAAACAGGTCGGATCTCATATTTCTGCCAATCTATCCTGGGATCATTTCTTCATGTCGTTTTCGCAATACTACAACAATTTGAGACAAGAAGTTCCACCACAAACTGATACAGTTTACATGAACAGAGCCCCTTACCATAAAGTAAGTTGTCCTTTTTTTACTATCGTTTTCAGGTTTATAAAGAGTAAAGTATCCTAATAATGCTAAAAGTTTGTAAATGTACACCATATATACACTTTAAGTTTTATACAGTGTGTCCGAAATTTGAGTCTCTATATTGACATCTTGCTTAATATAAAAGATTCAAGGTCGGTTAAGTAGGAAAGGTTTTAGATAATTTGATGTTTGATCTCGGATCCGATCAAAATTATTAAAAGGTATATAGTTGTTTCATATAGTTCTTGACTATCACTTTCGTTGTTAGCCCACTGCGCCGCCGGCTGGTATCCTGCTTAACGGACCAATGTTTCGTATAGTATATTTTATTTTAACTATGACAGCGATAAGTCTATTATGTACTACACCATTTTTATTTGACAATTAGAATTTTGTTCATTTTTTTTTTGTTACATTAAGCCACTTTAATGGAAAATATTTTTATAAAAAAATCCAAATTGTCTTATTTCTTATGGCGGCCGTCTTGGATTTTTACCTAATATTTTCCTTAATTTTGCAACACGCTTTAAAATAGTATGTGGTACCCAAAATTCATTTATTTTGATATTACATATATATGCCCCTACCATCTAAAAAATGCTTGAAATAATCATGGCCTACCATGTAAAGATACTAATTCCTCGGATATTATAATACCAAGTCATTTTTAATAATATTTGAGATTAATATATATAAAAAAAAGTTGTAATCTATTTTTTCTTCACCAACATGGATATTAGCTTATCTACGCACAGACTACAAAATGAAAAAGTATGCCATTGCGTTCAACTTAACGAATATATATTAGATTTGTTCGTGTTATTCAAAACAAAACTGTTTTAAAATTGCACAGAACTAGTTGCTTAGTGGCACAAATTTGGAATTCTTCCGAGCAGTTTTGGATTAGACATTAACACGAACACCTAAATTATCAACTGTCAATAGATTTTGTTAAAATTGTGGGGTAAAATAATTATTATTTAGCATAAAAAAAAACTAATAACAAACACGGAGTTTTTCCTTTTGTAACTGTACTTTAAATAAAATTGGTATGCGTTGGTTACGTTTTCTGAAGGTCAGTCACCGTTAATATGTTCTTCTTAGTTTAAAGAAAAAGATAAACTACGAAGAAAACTAATTTTCTCAGTCAAATTCCTATAATTCCATATTCAAGGAAATTCACAATATAATATACCTAACCTCTAACCTTGTATACTTTGTATTATTTTTGTAATGGTGCAATGCGCATGTGATTAGAACGATTTTTGTCACTTCGCACTTTTGTCTAGAATCACATAGAACTCTTTAAAACAGTTCAGAATCGTTCTAAAAAAAACTCAAACATAGGACTCTTTGTTCAAAACTTAGTTCCAGAAAACTTTTAGTCTACTACGCATGTCTGGAACGGTTCGGCACAAGTAAAACTAAAAACACGAACAAACCTTTCACATTCATTCTACCTAAGAACATTGCAAAAAATAAAATCCAGTAATGCGCTAGTTCAGTGCGATGTCATTTTGGTTCCACTGACATTTAATTCTAACCAAACTTTTAACAAAAACATCAATAAATTTGACATATACGTTTTTAGTGTTTTTAATTTATTTCAAAATATTGTTTACAGGTCATAAAAATAGTTTAAAGGTATGTAATTAGTAACTAAACGATTGTATATTATCTACTTACTTTAGGAATATATTTATAAAAGTGAAAAAAAAAAAAAAAAAACGATATAATTTAGGTAAACAAAACGAACAAAACGCACTCAAAAAATCTACTGTCACCTTAATTGTCAGTGGAACCATAATTACATCATCACTGAACTAGCGCATCACAGTTCATATTTTGATCATCCGGCTACTATTATTTTTTAAATTTTAAATAAGTGACAATTCTGTCAAACAAATTGTCAGTATATTTGTTAGTTATTGAGATCTCAAATATACGTAAACATTAGTTATTCTTCTATAGAATCGATAAATAATAGCATTTCTATTTTTATTTCGTCCACATTTAGAAGAAATCTTAAATTTTAATCAAACTATATGAAACTAATTTAATTACGAGTAATAAAACTAAAATCGTAAATGAGTGAGGTACCGGCGCTTGTCTTCCACGTGAGATGCTCGGGTTCAAATCTGGGCTGGGTACTAATTAAATTAAATCTTTTTTTTGTTTTATTTTATAAATTGGTAAAAGTCATAAATTATTTTAAAATTAGTTATGTTGGCTTAATAACCTAAAATATTTTTTTAAATTTGTAGATTTTCGTTACTGGGTCGTAGAAAAAATATACTGTACATCTCGAGTGGATTTCCATCTTATCCACTCTTGTTGCACAAACTACTATTAAATTGATAATATTATTTATTTTCCATTAATACTATATTTACACAGCATTGGAATATGCATGCTCGGCCAAAATAGGCATATTTTTAAAAGATATAAAAATTAAGTTTACAATACCTATCAAAACTTGCGTTTTGCTGTGCTTACTTTTCGTATTTTTTTTTTTTATTTCTAAATCCACGTTTTCAGCCCTCTACCGCCCCCTTTAGGGGCGAAAAGTTACCAAGTTTGGAATTTTGACATACAAAACCTACTGAAAGTTGCATTTTAGTGTTTGTATTCACACTCTTTATTTTTAATATTTTTAAATAACATCTTCAGGCGTCTACACAATAAGCCAATAGGCTTCAGTGTTATTCGGAGACACATAGTCAGACGAGCCCAGGAGAGGAAAAAAAACCCCTTTTAACCAATGTTTAATCCTTTTGATAAGGTAAATATTACTTGAACAACAAATAAATACCACACTACAAACAAAAGCTAACATAAAAGCTTACAAATCAAATATAAAAAGCTAATACATCAAGTACAAAAAACATAGTAATAAAAAAAACATTTACTGACTTTTAAACTGTCTGTATAATTTCTTTTGATTTTATTCTTGAGCGAATAGAGCCGTCTCTTGATTCTGTACCAAATACTAACGAAGATGACTTTGTAACTAATTTTACAAATTTCTCCACGGATTGAGTATGGCAAGGGAACTTCGGAAAATCATAGTTTGGAATTTCGGTTTCGTTTATAAGGTCCCTAAGATTATCACCAGTAAAATCCCTTAAAACAGGAGGCGGTGTCACATCGCACTCATTCCAGTAAATTAGCTCAAAGTAGCATGTAGCATTGACATTAATTTGTGGTACTACAAAGTGTCTTACTTCAACGGTTTCTCGACTGGTTTCTCTAGCTTTTAAGATTCTTTGTAGAGATAGTACACAAAAGAATGTTTTCGGGGTGTATAAATTAAGCGTGTCTTTAGATTACCGTATCCACAATACTTTTTAAATTATCTCTTAAATACCGTGACAGTTCAATCGTTTTAAATACATGCAAACTACCACTAGTGGAACTGAAATTTAGTTTAATATTAAACCACATTGGGGCATTCACGTAATTATGAATTCGGCCATATTCGTAAGGCTTGATGTTGGCTTTTTCGTTCCAACATAGAACCGCATAACACGATTTGCCATTGTGGGCCATCTAGAGTACGCTAATTTCCCAGGATTTACGGTGTGCTAAATTTGATGAGAAATTGCCGCTTAATATCAACGTAAAAAAAAACGTCAACAAGTCCATTCAAGTTTTTTCAATAGACACTGAATTAAACGTTGTGCCACTGAGTCTCAATATTTTAGGCGGAGTATTTAAGTAACCCAACCCACCAGTCGACGGCGCATTTCATGTTGCGTTCGCTGTAGAAATCTACTTAATGTGGCTCTGCTAGTCTATATTTGTTTGTTTTACGTGTCAGACTCGCGAATAATAGTGGGATTGCCAACGCCTTCTTCTTTTTTTTTCTCTCTTATTCTCGCTTTATATGAACATTCTTCTCCCTGTTGTTCCTTATAGTTTTGCACAATACCCAAGACAAATTTAGGCCGGTATTAAACTATTGTACCACATGTTATTTTAGATGAATACGGTGTTGCCAAATTAAGGAAAATATTAATTTTTTATGAATTTAAGGATATTTATTTAAAAGATGGCCGCTATAGGATATAAAAAAAGCAATAAGCTATTTTGGCAAATAACTCCAAAATTACATAAATTTTAATAATTTTAAAAACATCAGAGATCAGCATCAAATTTTCTAACACATTCCCCATTTAATCGACCTTCTATCTCTTATATTAAATGAAATACTAATATAGAGACTCTAATTTCACATACGCTGTATAAATATATGAAGCAGTAATGCAATTTATTGATATAATGTATTTAAATACAATTTTTAGATTTAGTAAAACATCTTACTTGATTTTTCTGATAGCTTTCGTACTTATACAGGGCGTATCACCGCAAGAACTGGAAGGTCTTCACACAGTTTTGTTACTCATTCGCACCGTGGCAGAGCACGACGAATTTTCCCGCTTGGCTTTGTGCGAGCATCCTGGTTGGTCTCCATTGACCAATCTGTTGGGATTGGTCAGTTGTTCGATACCGATACCTCTAAAAGCTGATTTACTGTTAACGTTAGCGGCGTTATCCAAAAGCTCCGAGAACGCAGCTCAGATGTGGGAGAATTTGGAAGCATCGCAAATTCTAGTTACCATTCCGTCGACATCCAGTTACGCACCGCGAGGTAAGTTTTTTATGTGTGGTTGGCTCGTAATCCTTTATAAACATCATTCTCCTATTAAGGCCCTATCCTACGTGGAAATATGTTATCATCATCATCATCCTCCTCCAGACTTTTAATCTTTAGATTATGATTAATGCATATTGCTTTTAAAATCTCTTTGTTGAGGGGGATTACTCCACTTTTCCTTAAGTGTGTTACTAATTTTTGTGTCTTGCTTCATTCGTTATTTTTCTCCACTCTAGTTTTGCATTTCGATTTCCAGACTTTTATTCCTAGTATTCTTTTGTCATCTTCTATATCCTCTCACCATCTTTTCCTCGATCTTCCCCTTCTCTTTGACTACAGTGTTAATGTTTATAACAATTTTGCCAGGTTTCTCTAACATGTCCTGCCCACTACGAACTCTGTACTTTTATATATCTTATGATTATTCCATCTCCGAGTTCGTCTTCAATTTTTTTTTATTGGATTTTAATCTCCATTCCTAATTTTCTGTTAAATTTTGCCTAGTATAGCTCTCATTATTTTTCGCTTTAATACTTTTAAGTCTTCTTTTTATTTATTGTTGTTGTTTCGAAGGTGTATGCAAATTGTTGATATTAGTATACATTGTAGGCAAGATCAAACTTTCATGCCTGCTTTACCTGTGTTAAAGTGAATACTAAATGGCGTTCGTACATACAGGAAAAGAAAGGACACAGTATGCAATGTTGCAATTTGCAGCAATTTCCTGTACATGCGAACCCCAGTTACTATTCACTTTTATACAAGTAAAGCGGGATCGAACGTTTTATCTTGCTGATACTATATATCTTTATAGTGCTTTTTTTTCGCTAATGACATATTTCAGGAAGATCTTTTAATGCTGTAGTCTTGGTTCCTTAAACCTTTCTTTTACTCGTTTCTTTCATGGTTGCCCTATTGTTGTTCCTTGATAGTTGAAGAGATGACTGAACTTTTTCTCTGCGTTTTTATGTATTCCTACTTATTACTTTCTTCTTTCCCTACTTTTATCTATTTTCTTCTGGTTTATTTCCATTCGAAGTTGTCTAGTTTCTTCATCTATTCTTTTTACCAGATTTTGCCTTGAGCTGTCACTATTATTAGGTCATCTACATACACGATTATTTGAATGTCGTCTGTAATGTTTTTTGTTCAGTTCTATTTTTATGTCTCTTCCTAATACTAGGTTAAACAGGGTAGGTGAGATTGAGTCACCTTGTTTCACTTCTTTTTTATATCATATTCGTTTGTTAGTACATGGTGAAATCGCACTTTTGCCTTGGTGTCGTCCAAAGTTATATTCAAAAGCTTTAGCAGTTTTTTTTATGAATTGTTAGCGTATTTAGTTCCTGTCTTATTATTATGTAATAGTTTCCAATACAAAACGTTTTAACAGAGCTAATTTTCCCATAGGTATTCAAACTGAACTAGAAGAAATCGAATCCCGCATCGAAGAATACCCGCTAACTAGAGCCGTCTTAAAATTACTAGACGAACTCACCAACTTCGGTATACCCCGAATGCTGGGGGCCGGTCCCAGAAAACCCGGTTTTGATCCTTACCTCTCGTTCATCATCAACTCCGTTTTCCTCAAATACCATTCGCGATCCTATCGCAACGCCACCGAAAAGTGGGAGATAGCCTCTCTGTGTTTGAAACTGTTTGAAAAATTTTTGAATCAGTACGACCCCAGGATAACCGACTTCCCAGGGAATAGTTCGCAATCGGAACCCACACCACCGGGGTACCATTTGATGTTGCAGTTGAACAGCAAATCTGAATTGTTTTATATTGTTATGAATATTATCCATGAGGCGAATCGAGTGTTTGACGCTTATATCATTTTTCCCGGACAGGAGGTGATCAAAGAGTGCATTTTGTCGGCTCTTAATATCGTTCATAGGGTTCTGGTGTTGCAGTCGAAATTTTTTGCATTGCTGACTTCTTCCTCATCACCAGTAATGTTAACTAGCTTGAGTAAACTGTTGTTATCGATCAACCGTGTAACAAATAAGCCGGATCATTGCATCAATATTGCGAAATTCGTAACGTACCAGCAACAGATGCCACACCATAGCTATGTGGCCGTCAAAATTATGAACCACATCACCAGCTCGTGCGTGGTGCACAACCATTTCATGAATATCCTTTTGTCTATAGAAGAACCGATGGAGCTGATTAAAAACGGTTTCGTTGAATGTTTAGACTGCGGTTCTGATGAACATCGAAATGTAATTGAGAATACCAAGAAGGAGATATTGAAATTGTTGAAGCAATGTTTGAGTTATAACGCGCCCAATTTGAGTCTGTTTCTGCTGGGTTTTAACCTGAAAAAAGACGTTTCTAAGACTGAATTTCAGTTTCCCGGTGTTCTGGGATTCCCTCGATCTTGTTTCCACTCAATGATATCGATAATGGACGCTGTGATTAACACGAGTTTCGAAAAGCCATCTCCGACGCTGCTAGAATCTGTTTACCATCTACTATACTTACTTGCTTCGAATTCTAAGACTTCCGGACCAATTTTACGTTTCATTAGGCTCAACAAGTTCTTCTACCAGGAGCAATTGCGCGAATGCTGCAAATACATCGACCGAGGCTTGGCTGAATTCAGCCAAATCACGTGGCTGCTTAAAATCCTAGCGACTGAATTGAAAGTCTTGAGTCAACTAAAGCAAGTCACCTACCTCAAACAGCTTACCAACTTCTTAGTAGATCTTCCAAACGAAGAATTGAAAAACAAAGACATGTTCGCGATGGTACAAAAGAGCACTTTGGACCCGAAAGTGATGTTTTCAGATACGTTGAGAATGGACAATTTCTTGACTGGTTTGATACCGCTATTCGAGCTGACGGTGCCGGTGGTGGAGACGCCCACTTGGGAATACTTCGATAACGCGGTGTTAAATCAGATTTTGCAGAATTGCCAACAAAAGGTCGGCCCGAGGTTGATCGATTTGAAGAAGCTGCATCAGATTTTGTACGACGAGTTGAAGAGCTTGCAGGGTACTGCAGTTATGGGGCAGATACAGGCTATTACGCACGAGATACAAAAGGTGCTCAGGTAAGCGGTTCTTATTATTATTATTTTAAGCATACACATTATTGTCTTAAGGGGCCGATTAATTTAAGCTAAATTGAAAAAAATTATAAATTATTAATTCCTAAAAACCAATTGCTCTAGTTTTACGGACCCTTCAAAATAACAACAAACTTCGATTTTTAATGTGAGTGCAAACAAAGGCAACCCTAGTTATTGTTAAAGAGAAAGCTGTCAGTTTTATTAATAATTAGGATTGCCTTTGTTTGCAATCGCTCCAAAATTCTAGCACTGAAGTTTGTTGTTATTTTGAAGGGTGCGTAAAATCAGAGCAAACCATGGTTTGTACGGTGTTTAGCTATTAATAATCTATTATTTTTTCAATTCAGCTAAATATAATCTGTCCTTCTTAGACTATAATAACTCCAGAAATAAGTAAATAAATTTAACCAATTACAGAACTCTTAAAGATAAATTACTTTTTTGTTGTAAACATTATATTTATACAACTAAAATTATTAAAAGGTTTTCACATCTCTGGGTATCACGTCAAGAGAGTTATTTGTTAAAATTAATGCACTCGTTTCTGGAACATCTTATATATATGTAAATACTTAACTTTGAATGAATATTTTTTATTATCAGATATGCGCTGGAGATGAACAAGAGGAACGAAACTTGTGCCGTCATCACGCAATTTACCGACGCTTGGCGACAAATAGTCGAGGTACTGGTGATATATACACCTGCAGAGATACTGTCATCCACAGAACAGCAAGTCGTCAGCATATCTCTATTGAAGCAACTACTGAAGAACATTACCAAAACTCAATGGTTACCTGAAGTTTCTAGATTGTTATCTGGAGCAGTGCTGATATTGATGGATAATTTGAAAAAGTGGTACTTGAAGGAGAAAAGGATGGAAAGGATATCAAATTCTGATACGGAAGCTTTTGTGAACGTCCTTAAATTGTATTACAGTTCATTGAAAGAAATCCTGGAAAATCTGACACGTTGGATAATGACTTCCGATGTGGTCAACGGAGAATTGCGAGTTAATTTGTATACATCGTTGGTGTCATTTCTGCAACTGACTTACAATGACGTACCTCATGATGATATCATGTTTAACAACAGTCTGTTCATCAGCCGATTGGATAGTTCGAAAATTAACGTTTCTGAAGAAACGATGCCACTTCAATTCGCCACGGAAGTGTTATCCAGTTTTGGCGATAAATTGATTGAGATAATTTGCCAGGATTGCATCGGGGGTCAAGAGATATGTAAAATACTGGCCATGTCGAGTTTTACTCACTTGATGTTACTGTCCGGTAATATTAACTGTATGTTATTGCTTTCTGGTAGGGGATACTTGAAGCACATCATCCAAAGCATTGCTGATAGTAATAACGAGTTGAGAGGCATTTTGGAACCCTCAGTTGATACTATCAAACCGTTGTATCTGTATATAGCTAAGATACTGCTACTAGCACGTCTGGCAGGTACTAAAATTGGTAGTGAATTGTTATTGGAACAAAAATTGCTGACTGTATTCAGTAACATGACTGTTTTCACTTATCACCCGGAAATATCGAAAGTGTGGGATGGAGATGATATTTTGGAAGATTTCCTACCTCCTCTAGAGAAGAAATATTTACAAATATGGCTACCGAGTTTGCACATTTGTAACGCTATATTAACGACATTGGGTACTGAAAACCAATCGGCAGTAGCACAAATTATGTATTTCCTATTGAGCCATATCGATGTGGTGGAATTGATACTTAGATCCGGTTGTATTGAACTAGCACCGATGTCGTTGAAAGAACTTGCATTACTAACTTCAATTCTGGCAAGAGCTGCTAATAATAATCTAATAAACGTACTGGAAAACCCCAACATAGTTCAAAACAATAGAGCACAGCTGCATAGGATACAGAAATTGATGTTAGCACTGCTGCCGAAATTCATTTTGACTGAAGACACTGTCAGGAATTTGACCACATCTGGTACCTCAAAATTCCAGACATCAGATCGATTATTATACGCCATGCAAATCATATCCAACTTACTGTGCTACTCTCGGAACGTCGTTGCCAACAACGGCATCGATCACGCTGGGGTAGGAGTGATTTTCTACCCCACCTTGAATGATCCTCTGCTGTCGAACACAGGTTACAGGAGTCTATCGAACGTTAACGAACAAGAACCATCTCTCGGAGTCATTGTGCAACAGTTAATCAGTACCGTTAACTTCCATCATAAGGAAAAAGCGACGTTCGATCTGCTGAACAGGAAGTTAAAGGAGATACCGGAAATGAATTCTGCTGATCTGTCGACTTACATCGAGGATGGAGACGAGTTAACAGATTTGTCTTGTAAACGAGAGAAGGCATATGAAGTGATTTCCGATAGATTGGAGAAGAAGAGGAGGGAGATCAGTTATTGCACGTTTATTCTAGAGAATGCTCTGTATTTAGTGTGGTCGCATTTAGATTTCTATATGTTGAAGGCTATACCAAAGATGAGGAGTTTCGAGTATGGGACAATGCATCCAACGTTGAAGCCTGACAGTAAGTCATTGTTAAATGTTTTTTACATAAATATTAAAATTATTTGTTCATATAATTTGACAGCCTAATCAATAAAATCATAAATTGACAGTTGTTATTAAAAATGGAATAGTAGTTATTTGTGTAACAAGGTCGTAAAGTTGCACATACCATTTTAAGCGACTGTCTCGTCAAGTAGAGCCAATATTGTTTTTAAATTTTTGTTTGCGAAAAGAGGCTTAAATGCAAGAATTGCTCAAAAGTTTTAATGATCAAGTAAAAATCCATTAACGTAATAATATTTATTAAAAACAGTACAGTCATTTTCATTAATACTAATTAGAAGACATTTTTTAGCTACTTTTTCTGAACTAAACGACTTTGTAGATGTCTGTTTATCGGAATCGTTTTTTAAGGTATAGAACACAGTTATTGCTCTTAACGAGTTGTATTACTGGTTAAACATCCTATATATTTGTCTTCTTTTTTACACTTAGGGGTGGGATTCCGTTTTATGTCCAGTAAACTTGATCTCAATAAGATTCATAATTCAATCGAATTGTGAGAAGCGATTCTATAACTCTGTTTTCGGAAATTCGAAAAATTAAACATTCAAACTACTCATTGTCTTTTAAACTTTAAACCACAAAAATTAAATCGTATTTGTTTAGTCTTGAGGTGAATTATTTCTTTAATTCCATTCGAACTCCATGAAAATCGCTTTGTATATTTTTTTCGGCTGAATAAAGAGTACCTATGTTTATATTTTGTAACGTTTTAGTATTTATAATAAATCACCCTTTTATATGTAGTTGCTCTAAGAATCTAATCAAGGAAATAATGCCATTGATGCAGAAGAGGTAATCCAGGAAGGACATCACTCTGCCAACTAAATTCTTTCTCTTCTAAGGTTTTACATCACAGGCTTTTTATTCAACCTCAGTTTACCTCTTGCAGTCTTGAGTTTTACAATCAAGTTTATTGTCGAATTTGGTAGAACGGAATTGCGTTCATCGTGTTTAACAAAAAATTCGAGTATATTAAAACTAGAGAGAATGAGTCGAATCCGGCAATGGTCATGGTTCGTAGACACTACGGTGTACTCGAGGTGTACTCATCTCCGTTGCTAAGGACGGAGTGACGTCACCGAATGAAAATATTCTACTTAGGTTCGTACATTAGTTTTTTAAAAAATCTAATATTTTATTGTTATTTAGTGGCGTTTATATTTTTATTTTTGGACTTTTTTCTAGTGTTAGTTTTAATAATATCGGTAATTTGATTTTTTGAAAGAAAAATAATGTAATGACTTCCATAAAATTTCAAAAGAATTACTTTTTATTTAAATTATAAAGAGAAATATTATTGCTTGAATGGTTTATTTTAAACATTTTGGGTTAGGGTAATGCCTCCGAGACGAAATCGGACCACGTTTTGTTTATACCCTGAAATATTTTGAAATTTTAGCAAGCAAATGAACTCAATGTATTCAAAAAAATTATTAGGCTTCCTCTCTGTCTAAAAAATACTCGTTAACCCACTCTTCCCTGATATTCTGCTCATCCAAAAATAAAAACTTTAAAACACCGTTTTCCAAAACAATGTTCTCATCGTCTGACATCTCCATTTTTACTGACCTGTTTATAATAATTAACTTGTACCTGCTTGCATTTAATGTGAGCACATTGCTGTTCACGCCAGCTTGCGCACGCGAGCGCCACCAAAGTACTTGCACAAGCGTGCCTCTATTGTGATTGAAGCCTAAAAATTGGTCCCAGTTATTTTAATAAATATAAAAAAAAAAAATTGGAGATTCCCGCTTTTGCTACTTACTTTGGGATATTGCCTATATGTTTGATTCTAAATATGTGCGATATTAACTAATTCACTATTACAAAATACTATAGGGTTGTTTATATTATTATTTATTAATAGGCAAACAGATAAACAATATAAATCAATGTTTATTGATCTAAATTAAAACAACTGGTAACTGTTTAACAAATTCGCAGCTTGCAATAACCAACAAAACTAAACAATGTGGCTATGCGCAAAACTGATCACTCCATACGGCAACCTGATTGGCGGTTTGGGATTTTGCCGGTTTTGGTACCAACTGGCACGTGAGGATTGCTGGGTTTGAAACTAACCCTGAATTTCAACATTAAATTTCAATGGGATTTTAAAGGATTAGGTTCGTGTTTTTTTTTACTTTAATCGCTTATGCGTGTTTAAAACTATAAAGCTCTAGATGTTTAACTCATTCTCGCAAAAAATTGATATTGCCGATTTAGATTCTAGACCCTTCAATTATTAAATTAATTGCAGCTTTATCCACCCTACATTTAAAAGCACATGATATGGTTTCTTATAAGCATCAAACACAACCAAGAGCAAGAAAAGTCAACGGGCTTTACTAAATGAACATACATGATTGAAGAAAGGATTTGCTACAGGAAGTTTTTAGTAAAAATGAGTTACAAATCATTTAAATCTTAAAATAATTTGTAACTTATTTTTACTAAAAACTTCTAGTAACAAATCTTTTTACTTTCTTCTATAAAAGGGAAATATTGTAATCGTGAAAAAGTCACCTTCCGAGAATATTTCAGATTTTCACGTTTTAGGTTCCCTTGATTACGAAAAACATGTTTCCACATTCTGTCGTCTGTCTGTCTGTTGGCACAATAGCTCAAAAAGGGCTTTATAGAAAAACTTAAAATTTTGTATCAAAACCAATTATACTTCCGATCAGTTGTGACAGGCTTCAAGCTTCACCTACAGTGAAGTAGCAAGTCTGTGTGGCGCTAAGGCGCCAGTTTTGTTAACACAGTTTGCTCTGCGACTCTGTAGTACACCAGAGTGTACTCAAAATACACTCAGTGGTGTTAAAAATACCTCCAGGCGGTCACCGCTAACAGGGTAGCTACTAAATTATAATAAAACACTGTTCTCCCTTGCACCTTGTATCCTATGGTACCCTGAAATAAAACGGTTGAGAGTCGGTAGTAAAAGAAAAGAAACGGAGATTATTAACAAAAAAAAAAAAATAATAACTCGGGCACGGTATCGTCACCCCTGGTATAGAGGAAAATAGTTTTCCTACCAAGGAAATTATTTAACTACAAAGCTCGAAACTAAAAATAACTAAAGCGGAAGTTTACGGCACTCCCTGCATACAGCAAATAAACTATTTAAATATAGTGGTTAAGTAATAAAGAAATTAAAAGAAATAACTATACCAGAAATTTACGACATGGTAATTCATGGTCAAGAGCCGCCACAGGTGTTCACATTGTGCTTCCACTTTCCGAGTTAATATTGTGCGTTAACATTGTGCGTTTACATTGTGCGTTCAAATTGTGCAGATTTTGTGCGTATTTATTTTTTGGTGATCGTCGTCAGTTTGTATAGAACAGTATGAACGCTCGCTGATGAAATAACTTGTCTCCTATCAATTTCTCGGAATCCCGGTGGACAGATCTCGGCATGTGTAAGCGCAGGTGCATATTTCCGGCAGCAGGTCACGTGGTAACGTATTCTACCCATATATGTGAACGCTCCAATTAAAAACAATGTGTTCTCGTCTTGCCCAAAATACGTACCCTAAATACGTATCTGCCGAATATGCATAGTGTGGATCCGTATCAGTAGCGGCTTGTAACCAAAATATTGAGGTTCACAATGGCAGAACATAGGCCACACTGAAAGTTTTTTTTACCTACAACTATACTGAGACCTATATTCTGTCATTGTGAACACCTAATATTTTGGTCACGAGCCGCCACTGATAAGAAATTTCGTATATGCAGATAGAAAAGTTTGAGTATTTGAGTATTGAATTAAAAAATAAAATGTTATTTTCGAAAACCTTTTACAAAATAAATTGCATATTTCTGTTTTCCCAGAATGTTAAGAACTGTATATCGCGCGATTTCACAACATATTGCGCAATTTCACAACATATTGCGCAATTTCACAACATATTGCGCAATTTCACAACATATTGCGCGGCTGTAAACCTATTTTAATCGCCACCTTTTTAGAATTCAAGTATCTGTCTGTGCGAATCGCATATCGTATAGGGACCGTGCGTCATGACTTTAACGCTAACTGGTGACAAAAATGTGAACTTTATGGGGGGTATTTATTAATGTTTTATACGGCATTTATTGTTTAATAATTATTAATTAAATAAAGTCGAATTATTTTCGTAATATCATTATCGAAAAAACTTGTTGCATCCGTGGATGTTCAAACACATCACTTTGGAAACCTGGATTTCATTCGAAAGTAAAGAAATTTTATAAATTTCCACAGAGCACAACAATTAATGTCTCACACCCAATGATATACATAATTACAAAGATTGCTTATCCATATGTAAATCAGACGACGAAAAGCGTATTTCACTGGGCAAAGTTTTCTTTTTATCTAGCTTGTATCAATTTTGAGCACTTAGTTGTAAAGAAATCATTTACAGAACCGGTTTAGAAATTAGAATCTTTAGTGTTTTCTTGTCATTAAGATTTTTACATATTTAAATGAACATTTTATATAAATATAAGTTTACAGATAATTAATGGTTTATTCTGTTGATTAAAACTAATGTAGAATGTTATTATGAAATAAGAATGGCCAATTTGACAAAAATATCATGGCCCTCTTTACAATTTATTAACTATTTCTCATTTATTATTAAAATAAACAAATCATAAATAATACATTGCAATTGGGGGGTGGGTTGGCTCAGTGGTTCGAGTCATGACTTTGAGATCGGAAAGTCTCAGGATCAAATCCCGCCGTTGGCCGGGATTTTTTAATTTAATTTAATTATTTAAAATTAATTCTGATGCCTTGGTAGGATTCTCCACTCGACCATTCACTGTTGGGTTCTAATTAACAGTGCTGTTCCTAAAGTGGCGCTGGGAAACAGTAACAAAGCCTACACAGAACACGAGGCTAATGGCCGTAGTAGTCGACGCCGTTGACACCAAATTAAAAAAAAATACATTGCAATTACTGTCAAAAGAGATTGCAACAAACTTTAAAATATTAAAAATCAAGTGATTTTTTGTAAATTCTTTTAGTGACATTACCATTAAACATTATTCAGAATAATAGATAAGTGTCCAATTTCAACTCTTACCAAAGTTGTTTATACCTCATATCAAAGTTGTTTACATTACCTTTTCAAAATTGTATTACATATTGCAATTAAGTATTTTATGTAGTATTATTTCTGAAATGAGAGTAGTCTAAAATTATTTATATCAATCTGTTATAAAAATTGTTTAGGGGTGAGATTACAGAACGTCTGCAACTTTGCAGATCTGCAAATATGGCGGCAACTTTGAAAATCTGCAAATATGACTGACTTACACATGCAAGTGTCAAGTTTTCGTATTCCAAATTTGGGTTTAGTGTTGTTGCGAATTTGCAGATATTTTTTAGAATACTTGCATTTGTAAGTCCGCCATATTTGCAGATCTGCAAAGTTGCAGATCTGCAAAGTTGCAGATCTGCAACGTTCTGTAATCTCACCCTAGATCTCTATTTAGTGAGCTCTATTTACGGCTCTATTTAGTGAGCTCTAGGAAAGGCACATTGCAACCCGCTTTTCATATTTTTTATAGATGGGTGAGCAATCTAAAATATGTATCATTGGACATCTCATAAACGTCAGTGGATGAATGACATTTCGACTAACAAAGCTAAAAAGATTTATTATTATTACTATCAATCTTTTTTATTAATTTACATTTTTTAAATGTTATTGTAATACTTTTAAATTCAGTGTTACTAAATACCGATATTTTGACATTGGATACACTTGTTTAAAGGTACAACTTTACAATTTATTGTCACTTAGCTATTTAAATCTTTTTGCTTAAAATGTATATACATGTCCAGATTTTAATTAATGTTTCAAATTTTCATTTCATTTTGACCATGTACACGATTGTTTGGTACGGGCCGGTATCTATTTTTAACTATATTTAATATTTAAAAAAATATCCTCTATTATTTACTTGCAATGTTTACCCCATTTAATTGTAAAATTAAACACTAGAGAGGGCTAACTTCGGCAGTAGTGCTGCCTCTATATTTCACGCACGGTCCCTATATCATTCACGATATACCGTTTACCTTATAAACCCTTAGTATGAACGGCGTCTAATA